AATCCTTGCCTAAGCCAATGTCTAGAAGGGTTTTTTCCAATGTTATCTTCTAGAATTTTTATGGTTTCAAGTCTTAGGTTTAAGTCCTTAATCCATCTTAAGTTGATTTTTATATAAGGTGAGAGAAGAGGATCCAGTTTTATTTTCCTACATGTGGCTAGCCAATTATCTCAGCACCATTTGTTGAAAAGGGTGTCCTTTCCCCATTTTATGGTTTTGTTTGCTTTGTCAAAGATCAGTTGGCTCTATTTGGGTTTATTTCTGGGTCCTCTATTATGTTCCATTGGTCTATGTGCCTATTTTTATACCAGTACCATGCTGTTTTGGTGACTTTGGACTTATAGTATAGTTTGAAATCAGCTAGCGTGATGCCTCCAGATTTGTTCTTTTTGCTTAGTCATTCTTGGCTATGTGGGCTCTTTTTTAGTTCCATCTAAATTTAAAAAATTTGTTTTCTAATTCTGTTCCAGTTTGTAGTCTTTCTGCTGAGCAATCTGCTATCAATCTGATAGGTTTTCCTGTATAGATTACCTGGTGCTTCTGTCTCACAGCTCTTAAGATTCTTTCCTTCATCTTAACTTTGGATAACCTGATGATAATTTGCCTAGGTGAAGATCTTTTTGTGATGAATTTTCCAGGTGTTCTTTGTATTTCATATATTTGGATGTCTAGGTCTCTAGTAAGACTGGGGAAATTTTCCTCAATTACTTCCCCAAATTTGTTTTACAAGCTTTTAGAATTCTCTTCTTCCTCAGCAACACCAAATATTCTTAGGTTTGGTCACTAACATAATCCCAGACTTCTTGGAGGCTTTGTTCATACTTTTCTTATTCTTTTTTCTTTGTCTTTGTTCCTTGTATTTGAGCTCTGAATTTCTTTCCTCTCCTTGTTCAATTCTAGTGCTGAGCCTTTCCAGAGCATTTCGTATTTCTAAGAGTGTGTCCAGTGTTTCCTGAATTTTTGATTGATTTTTCTTTAAGCTATCTATTTCCTTGAATATGTCTCCCTTCACTTCTTGTATGATTTTTTTTTTTTTTTTTTTAATTTCCTTGCATTGGGCTTCTGCTTTCTCTGGTCCCTCCCTGATTAGCTTAATAACTAACCTCCTGAATTCTTTTTCAGGTAAATCAGGGATTTCTTCTTGGTTTGGATCCATTGCTGGTGAACTTTTGTGATCTTTTGGGGGTGTTGAAGAGCCTTGTTTTGTCATAGTAACAGTATTGGTTTTCTGGTTCCTTGTCATTTGTGTAGGCTCTGTCAGAGGGAAGGTCTAGGACTGAAGGCTGTTGTTCAGATTCTTTTGTCCCACAAGGTGTTCCCTTGATGTAGTACTCTCCCCCTTTTCCTACAGATGTGGCTTCCTTTGACCTGAACTGCAGTGATTTTTGTCTCTCTTCTGGGCTTAGCCACCCAGTGAGTCTACCTGGCTCCAGGCTGGTACTGGGGGTTGTCTAAACAGAGTCATGTGATGTGAACTGTCTATTGGTGTCTCAGCTGTAGATACCAGCACCTGTTATGGTGGAGGTGGCTGGTGGGGGAGGGCAGTGCAATGGACTTTGTCAGGGTTCTTAGCTTGATGATTTAATGGTCTATTTTTGTGCTGGTTGGTCTTCTGCCAGGTGTGGCAATTTCCAGAAAGCTTCAAATGTAGTCGTATGGAGAGGGATCAGTGGTGAATGGGGCCCTAGAACTCCCAAGATTATATGCCCTTTATCTTCCATTACCAGGGTGGATAGGGAAGGATCATCATGTTGGGGCAGGGCTAGGCATGTCTGAGCTCAGACTCTCCCTGGGCAGGTCTTGCTGTGGCTGCTGTGGGAGATGAGAGTGAGATTCCCAGCTCACTGGAGTTGTGTACCTAGGAGGATTATGACTGCCTCTGCAGAGTCATGCAGGTTGTCAGGGAAATGGGGGAAAACTGGCAGTCACAGGACTCACTCAGCTCCCATGCAAACCGAAGGGCCAGCCTCACTACCACCATGTCCCTGCAACAGCCCTGTGTCTGTTTCCAGGTAGAGGGCAAGACAGGCTTGAAAACTTGCCCCAGGCTACCTGCCTCCCAAATGTGAAAGAAAAGGGCTTGGTTCTTCCCTTGCCTGTGGAATCTGTACACAGGATTTGTGCCCTCCCCTGAGTTCTGGCCATTAGGCTTCTTGCCTTGTTCAAATTGTCACATGGTTCAGGTAGAGATTTCCTTCTCCCTGAGGAGTTTTAACCCCTGCTCCTCTGGCCACCCTCCCAATGAATCCCTGTGGTGCCAGGCAGGAATGGCCTGATAGGGGATGCAGTGAGCTCCCAGGGCCTTTTTGCTGATTCCTCTACCCCTGTATTTTGCGCATCTGTCTAAATTGACTCAGCTCCAGGAAAAATTGGAAACTTCTCCCACAAACAGACCTTCAGCTTCTCTACTGGGGATGTGTGTTTGGGATATGAGGTTCTCCCTTTTCCACTTCCGCAGTTGGGTCACTCATATTTGGGGTATCTCCTGAGTCCTGCAGAAGCAATGCAAGCCTCCACATGCTGCTTTGTTCGGAGTTACAATCTAGTCCTGCCTCCCGTCTGCCATGATTTTTCTTTATTTCTTAAATTTATTTTAATTCACAGATAATAATTGTATATACTTATGGGTTACAATATAATATTTTGATCTATGTGTAGAAAGAGTCAATCAAACGAATATGTGTTATCACCTCACCAACTTATATTTTTGTGATGAGAACATTAAAAATCTATTCTTTTGGTAATTTTGAAATATGCAATACATTATTATTAACTGTAATCACCATTCAGTACAACAGATTACTAAAACTTATTCCTCCAGTTTAACTGAAACTTTATGCCTTTTGATTATGCTCATCCCTTACCCTCCCCCTAGCCTCTAATAAACACCTTTCTACTCTGTTTCTGTGAGATTGAATTTGTTACATTCTACATATAAGTTGGATCATACAATGTTTGCCTTTCTCTGCTTGGATTATTTCACTTAGCATAATGTCTTTCAGTTCCATCTATGTTGTCACAAATGACAGAATTTCCTTCTTTTTAAAGACGGTATAGTTATCCATTATATGTACACCATTTTTTCTTTATTCATTTCTCCATTGGTAGACACTGAGGGTGCTTCTGTATCTTGGATATTTTAAATACGCTGCAATGATCATGGGAGTACAGACCTTTTAGGCATACTGATTTCAATTTTTTGGATATTTACCAAGAAGTGGGATTATTGGATCATATGGTAAAATTGCAGGATCATATTGTATAACTATGTTTTTAGTTTTTTGAGAAACCTCCACATTATTTTGCAAAATTACTGTAGTAATTTATAATCCCACCAACAGTGTAAAAGGGTTTTATTTTCTCCACATCCTCACCAACACTAGTTATCATTTGTCTTACTGATAATAGCCATTCTAACAGATATGAGGTGGTTTCTCATTGCAGTTTTAATTTGCACTTCCTTAATGATTAGAAATGTTAAACATTTTCTTCATATATTAGTTGGCCATTTGTATCTCTTCTTTTGAGAAATATCTGTCCAGATCTGTGCTTATTTTCTAATTTGGTTATTTGTTTTTCTGCTGTTGACTTGTTTGAGTATCTTATATGTTTTGGATATTAGCCCTTTATCAGATATATGGTTTACAAATATTTTCTCCCAATCTATGAGTGATCTCTTCACTCTGTTATTTCTTTTCTTTTCTTTGAAGAAGGTTTTTAGTTTGCTGAAATGTCATTTGTCTACTTTTGCTTTCATTGCTTGTGCTTTTGAAATCCCATTAAAAAATTATTGCCCACACCATGGTCATGGAGCTTTTCCTTTATGTTTTCTTCTAGTAGCTTTACAGTTTCAGGTCTTACATTTAAGTCTTTGACCATTTTGAGTTGATTTTTCTGTGTGGTGTGAGATAGAGGTCTAATTTTATTCTGCATGTGGATGTCTAATTTTTTCAGTACCAGTTATTGAAGAGATTGTCTTTCCCCCAATGTGTGTTCTTGGTACATTTGTTGAAAATTCAATGACCATATAAATACTTGGAATTACTTCTATCCCTGGTCTTCTATCCTGTTCTATTGGTCACTGTGTCTTTTGTTATGCTAACACCATGCTGTTTTGATTACTATAGCCTTTTAGTATAATTTGAGTTCAGGTAATTTGATGCCTCCAGCTTTGTTGTTTGCCCAAGATTGCTTTGGTTATTTGGGGTCTGTTCTGGTTCCATGCACATTTTGGGATATTTTTTCTATTTCTATCGAAAATGACATTGTAAATTTGATAAGAGATTGCATTGAATCTATAGATCACCTTGGGTAGTATGGACATTTTAATAATATGTATTCTTCCTTTCTGTGGACATGTGATGTCTTTCCATTTATTTGTCTTCATTTTCATTCACCAATGTCTTATAGCTTCCAGTGTACAGACCTTTCACCTTCTTGGTTAAGTTTACCTGAAGTATTTTATTATTTGATACTATTAAAAATGAGACTTTTTTTCTTAATTTATTTGTCAGATAGTTTGTCGTTACTTCCTAGAAACGCTACTGATTTTTGTATCTCAATTTTGTAACTTTTAATGATATTAAATTTGTTAATTGGTTATAACAGTTTTTTTGATAAAGTTTTCAGGATTTTCTATAAATAAGATCATGTCAACAACAAACAGATAATGTCACTTCTTCCTTTCCTATATAAATACCTTTTATTTATTTTCTTGCCTAATTGGTCTGGTTAAAACTTCCAGTACTATGTTGAACAGAAGTGCCTAGAGTTGGGATCCTTGTCTTATTCCTGATCTTAGAGGAAAAGCTTTCAACTTTGAACGTTTGAGAATAATGTTAGCTTGAGCTTGCCATTATGTGAACTTGATCATGTTGAGGCACATTTCTTATGTTTCTATTTTGTTAAGAGTTTTTTTTTTTTTTTAAATCATCAACAGATGTTGAATGTTGTCAAATGCTCTTTCAGCACCTATTGATATAATCTTTCTTTTTTTTTTTCTAGTGCCAGGTGTTTATTCCCTCACATGTGGGTGGTTCACGTACACAGCACGTAGGCATGGGCACCATGGGAGAGGGCAGCACTCCTGCCTTCTGAGGGGAGGATCTTGGCCTCACGGTGTAAGAAGGGACAGGATGGTTTCTCTCCTGCCCTCACTAGGGCCTAGGGAACCCAGGAGCAAATCCCACACCTTCCACCTCTCAGCCAAGGAGAAGCCACCTTGGTGACGTTTATTTCCAACTATTATAGTAAGTGGAGAAGGGATTGACCTGGTCCCAACCATTACAGGGTGAAGATATAAACAGTAAAGGAAGGCACAGTTTGGATAAGGCCACAGGAAGGAGCAGGTGACACCATCAGAAGCATGTGCAGGGGAGGGGCAGTTACTGGGCTTCTGGGCTGCTTAGTCCCTGGCTTGGCAGGAAGGGTAGGGAAGATGGATGGGGCTCATTGTTTGGCATTGATGATGTCCACGAATTCGGGCTTAAGGGAAGCACCACCCACAAGGAAACCATCCACGTCAGGCTGGCTGGCCTGCTCCTTGCAGGTTGCCCCAGTCACAGAGCCTCCATAAATGATATCGGTGCTCTGAGCCACGGCTTCAGAGACGTTGGACTCAAGCCATCCTCGGAACTTCTCGTGTACTTCCTGGGCCTGTTGGGGTGTTGCAGTCTTGCCAGTACCAATGGCTCACACAGGATCATAGGCCAGGACGGCCTTGCTCCAGTCTTTCACATTATCTGCGATGACTTTTGTCTGCTGGAAAACAACCTTCTCAGTGATGCCAGCTTCCCTTTCATCTAGCTTCTCCCCAATACAGGAGATTACTCCGAGTCCCTCTGACAGAGCATGGGCCACTTTATGCCCAATCAGCTCATCTGACTCCTCAAAGACATGCCTTCTCTCTGAGTGCCCCAAGACCACCCACGTGGCTCCGCAGTCTTTGATCATGCCAGGGCTGATCTCCCCAGTAAAGTCCCCATTAGTCACTTTGTAGCAGTTCTGTGCAGCCACAGCAGTCTTGGGATCTAGCTTTTGCTGGGCAAAGTCGATATAGGCAGTGGGGGGAGCACGAACCACCTCGGTTTCGGCCGGCACCTTGGCAGCGTTCAGAGTGCCAATGAGCTCCCCCAGATTCTGCTTCTGCCCGTTCATCTTCCAGTTCCCCACAACGAAGAACTTCCTGGAAGGCGCCATGGCGCTGGAGCTGAGGCGCTGAAAGTCGGTGTCTCTATATAATCATATTTTTTGTCCTTCATTTTGTTAAAGTGGTATATCACATTTATTAATTTAAGTATGTTAAATTATCGTTACATCCAATGGATAAGTCCCACTTGAATATGGCAAATGATATTTTTAATGTGCTGTTACATTCAGTTTGCTAGAATTTTGTTGAGAAGTTTTGCATTGATGTTCTTCAGGCATATCAGCCTGTAGTTTTCTTATGGTGTCCTACTATGACTGTAGTATCAGGGAAATGCTGGCCTTATAAAATGAGGTGGGAAGTTTTCCCTTCTCTTTAATTTCCTGGAAGAGTTTGAGAATAATTGGTGTTAGTTCTTTTTAAAAATGCTTTGCAGGATTCAGCAGTTAATCCTTCAGTTCTTGGGCTTTTCTTTGATGGGTGACTTATTACCTTTAAGATCTTCTTACTCATTATTGGTTCCAATTTTCAATTTATTCCTAATTTAATCTCAGTAGGCTGCATGTTTCTAGGAATTCATTCATTTTTTTAGGTTATTGAATTTTTTGATGTATAATTGTTTATATTAGTGTCTTATACTCCTTTGTATTTGTGTGGCATGAGTTGCAATGTCTCCTCTTTCATTTCTGATTTTGTTTGAGTCTTCTCTTTTTTCTTTGCTGGTCTAGTTAAAGTTTTTTTCAGTTTTGTTCATCTGTTCCAGAAAGCTACTTTTAGTTTTACTGATGTGTTCTGTTGTTTCTTTCTAATATCAATTTCATTTATTTCTGCTGTGATCTATATTATTTTCTTCATTTTGATAAGTTTGAGCTTAATTTGTTCTTCTTCTAGCTCCCTGAGGTGTAAAAATAGACTGTTTATTATAAATCTTTCTTCCCTTTTGATGTAGAGTTTTATTTCCATAAACTTTTCTCTCATAACAACTTTTGCTGCATCCCATTGTTTTGATATGTTGTGATTCCATTTTCATTTGTCTCAAGATAACTTTTAATGTTTGCTTTGACCAATTGGTGTTAAGGAGCATGTTGTTTAATTTATACATATTTGTGAGTTTTCCAAAATTCCTCTACTTACTGATTTCTAGTTTTATGGCATTGTGATCAGAAAGGATACTTAATATGATTTCTGTTTTCTTAAATTTGTTGAGACTTGTTTTGAGGCCTAACATGTAATCTATTCCAGATAATGTTCTGTGTGCACTTGAGAAAAATTTGTAGGCTGTTGTTTCGGGATGGAATATTTGGTAAATGTCTGTTAGGTTCATTTGGTCTAGAGTGGAGTTCAAGTCCAAGGTTTTCTTATTGATTTTCTGTCCAGAGCTATCCAATGTTGAAAGTTGGACAGTTAATTCTCCTATGATCATTGTGTTGTAGTCTATCTTGCCCTTAGGACTATTAAATATATGTATGTACATACATATGCTCCGAAGTTGGGTAAATATATATTTATAATTGTTATAACTCCCTAATTGACTTTTTATGATGATATAATTATCTATTTTGTCTTTTTAAAATTTTTGACTTAAAGTCTATTTTGTTTGATGTAAGTATAGATATTGTTACTATTTTGTTGCTTCAATTTACGTGGAATATCTTTTTTGATCCATTCATTGTTAGTCTATTTGTGTCCTAATAGGTGAAATGAATCTCCTACAGGCAGCATATTGTTAGGTCTTTTTTTGTTTAAATCCATCCACCCACTTGATGTCTTTTGATTGGAGAATTTAATTCATTTACATTAAAAGTAATTATTGAGAAGAACTTGCTATTGCCATTTTGTTAATTATTTTCTGTTTAATTTATAGATCCTTTGTTTCTCTCTTTCTCTCTTACTATCTTCCTTTGCAGTTTGATGATTTTTCTGTGGTGGTATGCTTTGAATCTTTTCTTTTAATATTTTGTATATTTACTAAGGATTTGTGCCTGTGGTTACCATTAGGCTTACATAAAATATCTTATACTAATAATAGTCTATTTTAAGGTAAAAAGACTTACATTTTATTATTTGCACAGAATGTACACTTTTAATTTAACCCCAAAATTTGCTTTTATGATGTTTTGTAATTTGTATATTTTATGTCCCTTAGAAATTTTTTTGCAGCCATTATTTTTAATCATTTTGTTTATAACCTTTACACTAGAAATAAAACTGATTTTCATACCTCCACTATAGTATAAGAGTATTCCGAGCTTGACTATCTAATTTCATTAGTAAGTTTTATATTTCAGTGTTGCCACTTAGTAAACTTTTCATCACCTTGAAGAACCCTTTTTGGCATTTTTTGTGATGCAAGCCTAGTGATGATAAATTCCCTCAGCTTTTGGTTGTTTGAGAATGTTTTTATCTCCCCTTTATTTTTAAAAGGCAAGATTGCTGAGTATAGTGTTCTTGGCTGCTAGGTGATTGCTTTTATTTATTTATTTTTCTTTCAGCATTTGAATGTATTACCCACTGCCATCTAGCCTGTAGGTGTTCTGTTAAAAGAAAAATCTACTGATAGTCTTATGAGGGCCTCCTTGTATGTAACAGGTTGCTTTTCCCTTGCAGTTTTCAGTATTCTCTCTGTCTTTAACTTTTGACAATTTGATTATAATGTGTTTTGCTGTAGGTCTCTGAATTCATTCTATTAGGTGTCTGTTATACTTCCTGGATCTGGATTTCTAATTCCTCTCCCAGATTTGGGAAGTGTTCTGCCATTGTTTCTTTGAATGTGTTTTCTGTTCCTTTCTCTCTATCTTTTCCTTCTGTTACTCTGATAACATGTACATTATTTCACTTAGTGTGTCCCATAAGTCCCTTAGTCTGTCTTTATTCTTTTTTCTTGTCTTTTTCCTCCTCAGCTTAGATTGTTTTTAATAACTTTTAGATTCAGAGGTACCTGTGCATGTTTGTTATATAGGTAAACTTGTGTCATGGTGAGTTTGTTGTACAGATTATTTCATCACTCATGTACTAAGCCTAGTAAAAAATAGTTATTTTTTCTGCTCCTCTCCCTCATCCTATCATTTTCCCCCTCTATGTGTCAACATGTTCTCATCATTTAGCTCCCATTTATAAGTGAGAACGTGTGGTATTTGGATTTCTGTTCCTGTGTTAGTTTGGTGAAGATAATGGCCTCTAGCTCCATCCATGTTCCTGCAAAGGCCATGATCTCATTTTTTTTTATAGCTGCATAGTATTCTGTGGTGTATATGTACCACATTTTCTTTGTCTATTCTACCATCAGTAGAAATTTAACTTGATTCAGTGTCTTCGTTATTGTGAATAGTGCTGCTATGGACATATGCATGCATGTGTCTTTATAATAGAATGAGCTATATTCTTTTGGATATATACCCTGTAATGGGATTTCTGGGTCAAATGGTATTTCTGTTTTAGGTATTTGAGAAATAGCCATACTGTTTTCCACAGTGGTTGAACTAATTTACATTTTCACCAATAGTGCATAAGCATTCCTTTTTTCTCTGCAAGCCAGCCAGCATCTGTTATTTTTATTAATTTTTTTTTTTTACTTTTTAGTAATAGCCATTCTGCCTGGTGTGAGAAGGTATCACATTGTGGTTTAGATTTGCATTTCTCTAATGATCAGTGATGTTGAGCTTTTTTCATATGCTTGTTGGTTCATTTCCTTTGTCTACTTTTTAATGGGGTTGTTGACTTTTTCCTGGTAAATGTCTTTATGTTCCTTATAGATCCTGGATATTGGAGCTTTGTTGGATGCATAGTTTGCAAAAATTTTCTCCCATTCTGTAGGTTGTCTGTTTACTCTCTTGATAATTCCTCTTACTGTGCAAAGCTCTTAAGTTTAATTAGATTCCAGTTGTCAATTTTTGCTTCTGTTACAATTGTTTTTGGTATCTTCATCATGCAATCTTTTCTCATTCCTATATCTGGAATGGCATTGTCTAGATTATCTTCTAGGGGTTTTATAATTTTGGGTTTTACATTTATGACTATAGGTTATAATTCCATGTTAGGTTAATAACATATCTCCATTGTATTAGAGTTGGTTTCTGATTATTTATATTTTTCTTTTATTTAGGAAATTTTTTGATTTTTTAAAAAATTTATTTCTCCTCTGTGTTAGTGTATGTGCATCAGATAAGAGCATCACCTTTTCTAGTCCTGCTAGACTTGTCTCCAGTAGAAAATGTTCCTCCCCAACTAGTCTGGCCAGATATTCTACACACCTCCAAACTATGTGCTTGCCCAACCTACTATTTTTGTTCTGAGTGGTTCCCAATAAATTAGAGTGCAAAGTAGTACTATTGCTTTGAGAGAGGTGGGATCAAACCAGTCCTTTTGCATGCAACTAGAGAGTTTGGAGTGTTAGATGTGTGATCCAGTTTCTTCTTTACTTACAGAGCAGCTGACAGCCAGAATTCATCTTTTACCCATTCCTACACTGAGGCCAGTGTCTGAAGCAGATGCTTTTACTCTTGGTCCAACTACTCACTTTGAACATGGGGAGATAACTACTGAATGTTTGTACTTTTAAAAGCCAACGTTTTGTTCTCTGTGGTCTAAAAGATTTGAGAGTGCACAGCTCTGTCAACTTCCAGGGCTAGGTGATTTAGGAGTCATTCTTTTGGGTGAAGGTTATAAAAGTTGGGATGCTTGATCTATACAGAAACGACTTCTAAAACGAGTCTGTAGGTTTGGATTTATTGCTGGAGCAGGATGGGGAAGAAGGCATATTGGGATGTCCACTTTCCCTTTCAGGAACAGAGACGTCCCAGAGCCTTCTTCCAGCGAGAGATTACAGGAGATTATCTCTAGAGCATGCTGAGAAAAATAGCTCGAGTTGTGCCATCTCTTCTGTAATTCCTGGCAGAGGCCTCTAACTTCTTTCCATCAAGAGATTTAAGGATAAAATTATTACTGGAGCAAGCTGGAGAAGGAGGCATGGGCAGTGCCAACTCTCCTGTTAAAGCACGCAGAAATCTCAGACCTTCTTGCAAGGGAAGCCTTCCAGTCTGGAGTTATCACTGAAGCAAGCTGAAAAAGAGGGGAAAGGAAATA